GAAGGAGGCACAGTAAGTTATACATAACCTGTATCCATCATCAGAAGGAGGTACAGTAAGTTATACATAACCTGTATTCATAATGAGAAGGAGGTACAGTAAGTTATACATAACCTGTATCCATAATCAGAAGGAGGTACAGTAAGTTATACATAACCTGTATCCATAATCAGAAGGAGGTACAGTAAGTTATACATAACCTGTATCCATAATCAGAAGGAGGTACAGTAAGTTATACATAACCTGTATACATATACAACAGGGGGTTCAGTAAGTTATACATAACCTGTATACATAATTATACAACAGGGGGTTCAGTAAGTTATACATAACCTGTATACATAATCAGAAGGAGGTACAGTAAGTTATAAATTACCTGTATCCATAATCAGAAGGAGGTACAGTAAGTTATACATAACCTGTATACATATACAACAGGGGGTTCAGTAAGTTATACATAACCTGTATCCATAATCAGTAGGAGGTACAGTAAGTTATACATAACCTGTGTACATATACAACAGGGGGAACAGTAAGTTATACATAACCTGTATACATAATCAGTAGGGGGTACAGTAAGTTATATATAACCTGTATACATATACAACGGGGGGAACAGTAAGTTATATATAACCTGTATCCATACTCAGTAGGAGGAACAGTAAGTTATACATAACATGTATCTATAATCAGAAGGAGGTACAGTAAGTTATACATAACCTGTATCCATAATCAGAAGGAGGTACAGTAAGTTATACATAACCTGTATACATAATCAGAAGGAGGTACAGTAAGTTATACATAACCTGTATCCATAATCAGGAGGAGATACAGCAAGTTATACATAACCTGTATCCATCATCAGAAGGAGGCACAGTAAGTTATACATAACCTGTATCCATCATCAGAAGGAGGCACAGTAAGTTATACATAACCTGTATCCATCATCAGAAGGAGGTACAGTAAGTTATACATAACCTGTATTCATAATGAGAAGGAGGTACAGTAAGTTATACATAACCTGTATCCATAATCAGAAGGAGGTACAGTAAGTTATACATAACCTGTATCCATAATCAGAAGGAGGTACAGTAAGTTATACATAACCTGTATCCATAATCAGAAGGAGGTACAGTAAGTTATACATAACCTGTATACATATACAACAGGGGGTTCAGTAAGTTATACATAACCTGTATACATAATTATACAACAGGGGGTTCAGTAAGTTATACATAACCTGTATACATAATCAGAAGGAGGTACAGTAAGTTATAAATTACCTGTATCCATAATCAGAAGGAGGTACAGTAAGTTATACATAACCTGTATACATATACAACAGGGGGTTCAGTAAGTTATACATAACCTGTATCCATAATCAGTAGGAGGTACAGTAAGTTATACATAACCTGTGTACATATACAACAGGGGGAACAGTAAGTTATACATAACCTGTATACATAATCAGTAGGGGGTACAGTAAGTTATATATAACCTGTATACATATACAACGGGGGGAACAGTAAGTTATATATAACCTGTATCCATACTCAGTAGGAGGAACAGTAAGTTATACATAACATGTATCTATAATCAGAAGGAGGTACAGTAAGTTATACATAACCTGTATCCATAATCAGAAGGAGGTACAGTAAGTTATACATAACCTGTATACATAATCAGAAGGAGGTACAGTAAGTTATACATAACCTGTATCCATAATCAGAGGGAGGTACAGAAAGTTATACATAACCTGTATCCATCATCAGAAGGAGGTACAGTAAGTTATACATAACCTGTATACATATACAACAGGGGGTTCAGTAAGTTATACATAACCTGTATACATAATCAGAAGGAGGTACAGTAAGTTATACATAACCTGTATCCATACTCAGAAGGAGGTACAGTAAGTTATACATAACCTGTATACATATACAACAGGGGGTTCAGTAAGTTTTACATAACCTGTATACATAATCAGTAGGAGGTACAGTACCGACCGGACACAACCTAACACCAGAGCGAACCCGGAGCGGACCCCGGGTTCGCTTCCCGGGTTTGCTCGGGGTCCGCTTCGGGTTCGCTTTCAGAAATTTTGGGACCACTCCAGGTGCACTTTGGGCTGCTCCGCGTTCGCTCGGGGTCAGCTCTGGGTCCGCTAGAGCGAACCCGGCGTTCGCTTCCTGGGACCGCTTTACGCACTGATGCGTGAAGCGGACCCCGCTTTAATCTCACCGCCAGTAAGCCCCGCCCCTTGTATATTCCAATACAGTAATGGTATTGTGGATCGATCATTGTTGTTTATGCAACGATGCGGACATGTACACTGTACATGTAAACAGTGAAATATTGGAGAACATTGATAAATTTTCTAAATTTCAACTGTACATTCGACGTAGATTTACATGTACATGAATAATTGATTTCCTTGATTTCTCGATCCAGAGAAATTCAAATTAATTTAACAGCGGGTTATAAGGCATTTATTTTTCTTAAGTTATAACGAGAAAATAAAAAAGAAGAGGAAGAAAAGAGATTTAAATTGATTTTCAGTCTATCGAATGTTGTACAAGTGAAACTGATGGAAGAAATCCAAACTTTATAACTTTTAAATTCATGCTTTATATTGTTTAAAATACATTTGTTATTCCTTAGGTTTTGCTAAATCGTAGTTTAAATGTTTGCTTACATGTTACACATGAATTATGATATCGCATCTATAAATTACATGTAACGTTTGTACATCTGATATATTTAGATTTCATTTATAGTAGTTACACATGAAAAGTTCGTAATAAATATTAAATGGACATTTTCTTAAAAAAAAAAAAAAAGGCCAAATAATAATTGCTCTCCCGACCCCATAAGAATATATGCCCCCTATTTAAGACACATTGTCTTTAAAATATTCTAATTATTTAATTATTTTATTTATTATTTCTCAATTTACGTGTTTCATTAAATTATTCAAAATTTACATCAAAATTATTGATCTTCTTAATCTTCTTGGGCATGAAAAAATGCGTGTATATGAAAATCTTCGTTCTGGATGCACAGATTGAAGTCATTCCGCCCTAATGGTATTAACAAACTGAATGACTTCACCATATTAACGTGATTTAGACCCTATTCTTGATGATACTAAAAAAGAATATTCTTTCAATATAGTGTAACTCTAAAGTTAGTTTGCCTTACCAACTTTCGAACAACCCACATAACTATGTATTGCTTACGCCTTTATTAATTATTTTTTCCCAATAATTAGTCCTAAAACATTTCAAAATTTAAAGTAGACAACAATTCATATATTGAAATATCCCTTCTATATTAAATTACTCTGATTATACTTTGTCAAGTACAGTTACGCCATTTTGAAAGAATGAAACACTGTACGATTTACTAAATATCGTGATTAATTAGTGCAATTAATTCGTTCAATTATGTAAATCGCACTTTACCTGAGTTATGATCTCTTTCTCTCTCTCTCTCTCTCTCGTCTTGATGTTTCCTGTATCTTTTTATATTTAAATATTGAGCATGTTAATATTCCTAAACTGTTAGTATCTTGAAATGATGAAATTTTACAATAATTGTTGAAGACCAACTATGTTTCTTTTCTCCTCTTTTTGTCAGTAAAAATTGTAATATCAATTGATTTCCATTTTTATGCATTGACTGATGTATTTACCCAATTTATTTACCAAATGGACTATAAATACTGGTATAAAAACTTAAGAAAATAAAAATTTAAATAGCCATGTATAATTCTACGTGGAAAATTAAAACAAATAATTAATTAGTTGTTTTAACAAAATAAGAAAATAAATATATTAATAAAAAATTCAACCCGGAGAATTAAAATAAATAAATATTAAATAATATTTTAATTATCATAATAGATTTACACAGCACATTCACACCTTTCGCTTGTATGTACAGTGTTTGGATTTATATCGAATTCAATCAACACGTTCAAACTTATATCCCAATCGACAGATCAATATGCTATTTTGATTGGCTGATGCGCTGATTGGTTAATCGCTAATCCTGATTGACAGCTCTATAAAGAAATACCGAACCCGCGTTCGCTCCCTGGGACCGCTACTGAATTTGGGGTTCGCTCTCTGGGTCCGCTTCGGGTTCGCTACAGGTTCGCTTTGGGTCCGCTCCGGGTTCGCTCGGGGTCAGCCCTAGAGGACCCCGAGCGAACCCGGAGCGGACCCAGAGAGCGAACCCGGGGTCCGCTCCGGGTTCGCTTTCTGTTAGGTTGTGTCCGGTCGGTACTGTACAGTAAGTTATACATAACCTGTATACATATACAACAGGGGGAACAGTAAGTTATACATAACCTGTATACATAATCAGTAGGAGGTACAGTAAGTTATACATAACCTGTATACATATACAACAGGGGGAACAGTAAGTTATACATAACCTGTATCCATACTCAGAAGGAGGAACAGTAAGTTATACATAACATGTATCTATAATCAGAAGGAGGTACAGTAAGTTATACATTACCTGTATACATAATCAGAAGGAGGTACAGTAAGTTATACATAACCTGTATCCATAATCAGAAGGAGGTACAGTAAGTTATACATAACCTGAATCCATAATCAGAAGGAGGTACAGTAAGTTATACATAACCTGTATCCATACTCAGAAGGAGGTACAGTAAGTCAATTATATATTATCTGTATCAATACACAAACAATGAACAGTATTAATTATGCATAACCTGTCAATACACTTTCTGATATATAGCAATACATAACCTGTTTATAAACTTTTCTGATATATAGCAATACATAACCTGTCAATACACTTTCTGATATATAGCAATACATAACCTGTCAATACACTTTCTGATATATAGTAACACATAACCTGTCAATACACTTTCTGATATATAGCAATACTTAACTTGTGTCAATACACTTTCTGATAAACTGTAAGTGTAACATGTAACATTATTTATACACAAACAATTTTTGCCTATTTTTCAGTGGACTGGATTCCTCTGTGACTTCCTATACACAGAGTCAGGTGAATGGAATGGTGCTGGCTGTCAGGGAGTTTGCTGTGGAGACATCTCAACTGACCAGAAAGACACTGTTTACCGAGGCCAAGTCCGAGGAGAAGGGAAGGAAGAGGCGACAGGCAGGGTCACAGGGTCAACGAGCAAGGTCACAGGGTCGTGGTGATACAGAGTGTGCGACACATCCTGAAAATTTCTTCCAAAATTATTTTGAAGTGTTTGGAAGGATGTTTTCCTTAAAAAAGGGGTAAGTACAGTATGTCGCAACATTTAACAGCCTAATAAGAAATTGATGCTTACAACATGATTTTAAATCCCTGTGGATTGAATTTTACCATACCTCTGTCGATTTTTCCATGAAATCCTGGCTTACGATTGGTTGAAGTCTGTCACGTCACGTGAAGGCGGTGGATTACTTATACCCGGTCAGTTGTAAATCTATACCCGGTCGATGTTTTACGTCACAAACACAAACATGACGTCATAATAGGCACAGTATAAGACTGATGAAGCATTTAGCAGAGAAAACCATTTATAAAATATAGATAAAATGTAAATGTTTAATCGGTGGGGTAAATTCGTTACATAGTCTTTTAGTGACAGGGTATGAGATGATACCTGGTTAGTAAATTTCATACCTGACTTGGCTTAAAGGACTGTTGCAAGAGGTTGTACATTCACAATGAAAGACTGAGGAATCAGAGGGTGAAATAAAAGAGAGAGAAGGTTGAATTTTTAACTCTTTTTGATTTATTGATCTTTGTGTTTTAGTGAAATACCCCAGAGATGGTTTACCTTCCGACACCAAGCCGTGAGAAACAGTCCTGATCTGGTGTATCATTTCTTCTCTAAAGGGAAGTCAATGGAAGAACTCTTTTTCCTGATGGAGGTAATTTTAGTTTAAAATGCAATTCAAAACTGAAAAAGCTTTCCTTGTAGAGTTCATAGTAATATCAGCCAATGGAGATCTTTTGTTAACTTCTTAATTTTTTGTACAGATTTTATTTTGTTTTCCCGAGCTAAAATCTTTGTTGAACTTTTATCAGTTGAAAATTGTGTTTGAAATAAATGTTTACAGTAAAACTTGTATAATACAAATTGTCAGGGACAGATGATTAAATTGATTTGTAATTTGTAATATCTTTTATGGTTATGATGTTTTTCAGGGAATCAAAATCACTTAGTTGTAAGCATTAAACTTGTGATAGGCATGTTTGCTATAACCATTTCTTAATAAATCAATCAATCATAATCTTCAATAAGCTGAACGAAGAGAATATCAGTCAAATTCAACCCTGTTGTAGACAATGAAATATTTGTTTATAGAATTGCTTCTGTTTCATGTTTGCTTAAAGGTTTTTGTTAAAATTAAAATCTGGATTTGTAGATAAAGGAATTCCCAGTTAATCAGGGTGCAGTAGATTTTGAAGAACAAGTTGGAACCAGAGAGTTAGCGCGAGTTGGAGCTGAGCTGTTGGGCCAGTCTATGTGTTGTGTATTTTATCCCTGTTCTCTGGGGGTCCTCTGTATGGAAACTAAAGTAAGAATAGCTTACCTATGACAAACAATTAACAAGAAAACATTGATGTAACCATCAATTGTCGCCTGGTATATAAATAAACAATGGAAATGAGACTTGATCACCGAACCGCTTCGATATGTGTAAAGGCATGCATCTAATTGATGGAGACGATAGTTGCAAATATTTTAAAAAACTTGTAGTCAGAAAAAATCAATCAAAATCGATATCATTTTAAACTTGATCAATTCCTCAAGTAAATGTTGCATAAAAAATAAATTGAAGTTAGACACACGCATCATTTATATTGAAAAATGTATTAATTTTCAATTTTAGAATATAAAACACGAACTGTGCAGAATACGTTTTTATCCGAGAAGTAAAATTCGATGTTCTAAAAAAAAGGGACCTGTCATTGTTTCGATAGTAAATGATAAGTAACTTTATACATTAAATATGAAAAACATAAATATTTTTACAGTTTCACTTTATGGAAGTAAATATATTATGTATCTCATAATTTATAAACTGAAAGAACATTCTGATTAACAATCTTTTCAATGTTTAGAAAACCTTTAATTCTACATAACTACTCCCACCCCAATCCCCATACACCAACACTTAAACATATATGTATAGAGCAGCCTGGTCCTCAGGGCTGCAATAATACAGTCAAGCCTCATTTATCTGGATACTAATTATTTTTTGGAGAACATAATGAAATAACACATCTCAGAAGTCTTGAAAAAATTAAGCAAATTTCTAACAAACCAATTCGCTTGAGATTTCTATGAAAAAAGTATTTATATAGTTTTACATAATATTTGCCAATTTTCAAAATAAAAATTTTCCAAACAAAAACATTGAATTTCACATAAATATCATGTTATTCATATTTACCTGCCATATTTAAACAGAGTATCCAACTGTTGTCCACATTTCCTCCAATAGATAATCATAGATAATGAATAGATCTGAATGAAACTGAATCTTGGTTTTGCTATGGTGCCATGAATAGATCTGAATGATTATGTATTGGTACTGTTTTGACTTCCTGCTGTCAGATCAGATAGATAAATTGGATTTCTGTCAGCGCAAAATGAACCTTGTAATTATAGTATAAAACTAACATAATAGTTCTGTTGTTTATAACCCTCTTGTTTCTGTTGTAGTTGATGTTTGTTTTCCTGAAAATCTCACTGAAACATTCCATCTCCATTCGTAAGGGAGAGAAGGGATCTCCAGATACTCCGTGTAAGATCATGTACACCGAGGTGTTTGACATTCTGAAAGCTGAGGACAGATTAAAAATGTCGGACATCTTGTTCTGGTTAGGGTGTGTTCAGGATTATGGAAAATATAAGTTTTTCTGACCATGAACAGTGTATTATTAGCAATTGTGAGAGGTTGTCGGTGAAATGTACATTACAAATTATTGTCTAAGTTTGTCAGAATACAACACATTTACAGTCTTTGTCAAAATTTGTCATTAAATACCATTAATTTTATATGTCAACATAGGTATTTTCAATGACTGTAATAGTTTTCAAATGCAATGTTTTATCAGTAATTATCTTGAAATATAAGAAAACTTGTCTAGGTTTGAAAGTTTAAAATAGTTTTATTTTCAGTTATTGGTGATTGCCTAAGTTTGTACACTATAATTATAAGTACAGTGGATAGTCAATTTGTCTAGATACCTGAATCACCAGTTAAACAAAACAATATAACATCTAAAAATGCCGTCCCAATGAAAAAGAGTCCGGATACTGAAGCATCCAGATATCTGGGGTCCGGATATCTGAAGGTTCACTGTAATTGAAATTTTTGGAGAATTTGATAAATAAGAAGTTGTCTAAGATTTGTCTAGGCTTGTAAGTTTAAAAAAAGAGTTTTATTATCTTTAATCAGTGGTTGTCTTAGTGTTAACATAACAGTAACTGATTTTTCAGAGAATATAGAAAAAAAGTAGTGCAAGATTTGCAATAAATGAAATGCTTTATAAATTGAGTTTTACAAGATCAAACAGGAACTTAGGCTTATTTGTAGAAGATAAGTTTATTTTTTCCAGAGGTAGAAATTGTTTGATTTGATACATTAAAGAAACAAATATGTAATTCAACAGGTTTACTAGATTATTTATATTTTGATTTTTACAGAAAAGTTGTCAGTTTCAATATATTTAGTTAAGGTCTTCCGTTTCCAACGGAAGACCTTCTACTGATTCTGTTGGTAAAGATTATTATTCTTTTTTTTCTTCTGCTTCCTAGACCGCAACTTTGAGGCCTCATATCTCGCTCATTTCTCAACGGATTTTGCTAAAATTTTCAGACGTTATAGACGTTAATAAACTCTATCAGAATAATGTCTAAAATTTCAAAAAGCCACTTCCGGTTTTGAGTTATTTCCATTTAAAGGAAAATTTATAGGCTCTCGTTTCCAGACAAAGGCTCAGAGACGGCTAAAGCTGGAGCAGAATTTCTACTGATTTTAGATAATAGAAGGATTGAAGTTGTGCACATCGGTTTTTGTTTTTCGATTTCTGTATTCAGAATGGCGCTATATAGGGGTCAAAAATTAGAACGCTTAAAAGAACCAAAAATTACTCATATTTTTCTTTTTATCTTCTTAACTAAAAATATTTTGTTAAAATATATAGAACATAATTTGTGCAGAATTAGAAGATCTTTCAAATGATATGTCGAAAAAAGGGCTGACCCCTAAATTAAGGGACCTAGAGGGGCCAAAAGTTTTTTCCAGATATCTCAAAAAGTATTGAGAATTTGTTATGCATCAAAGAAGCAAAGTTGTTCAAAATATCAAGCTTTATCTAATGGGGTCGTCAAAATACGTCCGGCGACGTCACTTCTGGTTGAACCGGAAGTAGTCAGAAAATGCATATTTTTGCAATTTTTGACAGGTTTTTGGGTAACATGTCTCACTAGAAGCTTAAATATTAATTTTCCGTCCGTCGTCGTCACTTCCGGTCAAACCGGAAGTACCAAAGAATGGCTTAATTTTGCTATATACTAAACAGATTTGGAGGATTAACCAATTTTTGGACTTCATTACTCCTTTTTTAGCTCTACTGGTCAGAGACCAGAAGAGCTTATGCGATAGTAATGCGTCCGGCGTCCGTCTGTCTAGCTGTCTGTCTGTCCGTCTGTCTGTAAACAATATTTCAAAACTCTACTCCTCCTACAATTTTAGTCTGATTTCAATATTACTTGGCACACAAGTAGACTACACTAAGATACATAGAATAGTGCATCGATTTTTGATTTCGATGAACGGTGTTGCCATGGTTACTAAAAATAGAATTTTCTGTGAAATTCCTTAAAAACGCTACTCCTTCTACAGTTTTGGTCTGATTTCAATATAACTTGGCACACAAGTAGACTACACTAAGATACATAGAATAGTGCATCGGTTTTTGATTTCGATGAACGGTGTTGCCATAGTTACTAAAAATAGAATTTTCTGTGAAATTCCTTTAAAACGCTACTTCTTCTACAGTTTTGGTCTGATTTCAAAATAACTTGGCACACAAGTAGACTACACTAAGATACATAGAATAGTGCATCGGTTTTTGATTTCGATGAACGGTGTTGCCATAGTTACTAAAAATAGAATTTTCTGTGAAATTCCTTTAAAACGCTACTCCTTCTACAGTTTTGGTCTGATTTCAATATAACTTGGCACACAAGTAGACTACACTAAGATACATAGAATTGTGCATCGGTTTTTGATTTCAGTGAATGGTGTTGCCATGGTTACTAAAAATAGAATTTTCTGTGAAATTCCTTTAAAACGCTACTCCTTCAACAGTTTTGGTCTGATTTCAATATAACTTGGCACACAAGTAGACTACACTAAGATACAAAGAATAGTGCATCGGTTTTTGATTTCGGTGAACGGTGTTGCCATGGTTACTAAAAAAAGAATTTTCTGTGAAATTCCTTTAAAACGCTACTCCTTCTACAGTTTTGGTCTGATTTCAATTTAACTTGGCACACAAGTAGACTACACTAAGATACATAGAATAGTGCATCGGTTTTTGATTTTGGTGAACGGTGTTGCCATGGTTACTAAAAATAGAATTCTCTGTGAAATTCCTTTAAAACACTACTCCTTCTACAGTTTTGGTCTGATTTCAATTTAACTTGGCACACAAGTAGACTACAGTAAGATACATAGAATAATGCATCAGTTTTTGATATCGATGAACGGTGTTGCCATGGTTACTAAAAATAGAAATTTCTGTGAAATTCCTTTGAAACGCTACTCCTTCTACAGCGTTGGTCTGATTTCAATATTACTTGGCACACATGTAGAATACACTAAGATGCAAAGAATAGTGCATCGGTTTTTGATTTCGATGAACGGTGTTGCCATGGTTACTAAAAATAGAATTTTCTGTGAAATTCCTTTGAAATGCTACTCCTTCTACAGTTTTGGTCTAATTTCAGTATATCTTGGCACACAAGTAGACTACACTAAGATACAAAGAATAGTGCATAAGTTTTTGATTTCAATGAATGGTGTTGTCATGGTTACTAGAAATAGAATTTTCCGTGAAATTCCTTTAAAACGCTACTCCTTCTACAGTTTTAGTTTGATTTCAAAATAAGTTGGCACACAAGTAGACTACACAAAGAAACTTAAAATAGTGCAATGGTTTTTGATAAGTACAAACCAGTAGAGCTACAGTCTCGACAGAGACTTCTGGTTTTAAATAAAAGTTACATCCGGTCAAACAGGACGGAAGACCTACTCGTTGCTTTGCAACGAGCTCGGCTCTAGTTTATGTGTATAGTTAAATTACATTCTCATTTTCACTAACTAAAGGACTACAGTTTATGTTTCAAAGCACATAAACATATGTGTTCTATTACATGTAGACCTGAGTATTGATGTAATTTTTCTTGATTGAATTTAATGTAATTGAATTAAGATTAAATATGTGTGGATGATGATAGAATTGTTGTTTTTTTTTTTCAAAAGCTCAGAGGGCTTATGCTTGCATTAGTATTTTAGTATTATTTTAGTATGTTCTGTGTTCTTCATTAAGAACTTAGGTATGAAGAACTATTGTTAATATATTTTATTTGGCGATATTTGGCAGAAATTGATTCTTTTATAAGTTTGCGTAGATTTGATTTGGCATTATCTGAATATGTATGATAAATGACATTTTGCGATGTACTTGATTTAGGGGACTCTGCTTTCCGTCAATGACACTAAATTAATACACTGCTACATGTAAATGTAATAGGTTTACTGTATACTGGGCGAAATAATGAAAATTCTAGTCTTCTTTGTCATACCTATGTAACAAAGTGATAGAAGATGAAGTGTTAAAAAAAAATTTAATATTCCCAACTATGAAGACATATTAACACGTCTTGTTTGATGATGTACTGTAGACTTACTTTTTTTCCACGGGGTCATAATTCCGCGGAATCTCAATTTCTGTTTAATCCGCGGGTAGAAAATTACGCGGATTTTCTAGATTGTCACTATATGCCTTACATTTATATTAAGTACGCTTGGACAAATTTCCACGGAAAATTTGTGACCGCGTACATAGCGTAAATTAATACCACGCGGAAAAAAGTACTTCTACAGTATCTTGAAGTACAGAATTAGACCAAAAAACAGGTTTCAGACCTAAGAATTGCTGAACACGTTTAAAGTCAACATTACTTAAATTCAACAGCCATTATAATGAACCTATAAACTAATATTAACTAGCATTGCATTCAGTGGTTCTTAGTTTGGTTCACTTGTTTAATACTAGTTGAAAACCCATTTTTTAAATACTCAATTTGACAACAGAATCTTACGTCTTGCTGATCTTTACAAAGGGCTAACGGTGGGTATGACCGTTCTAGACACGTGATCCTACCTCTCAAATTTACAGGGCTCTCTGTTTTTATACCCTCTTAACAGATATTTTTTTTTTTAAAATAGATTTTTAGGTCACCTGAGTAACTCAGGTGACCTATTGCTATCCGTTTTCGTCCGTCGTCGTGTGTCGTGCGTCGTGCGTCGTGTGTTAACATTTGAACATTTTCAGCTTCTTCTCTGAAATCACTTAACCAATTTCAACCAAATTTGGTATACAGGATCTATGGGTGATGGGGAACAAAAATTGTGAATTTCATGGTCCCTGCCCCCCTGGGGCAAATGAGCAAGAGTGCCTCTTCAAAAATTGTGAATTTTGTGGACCCAGGGTCAGGGGTTCTGGTGTTAGGGTGGGGCCCTATTGATTATATAGTGAAAATACATTTATTCTTTGGAAATCTTCTTCTCTGCTCCTGGGTATTAAATGAACTGACCAAGCACATAGTTATGATGAGCAAGAGTGCCTCTTTCAAAATTGTGAATTTTGCGACCCCAGGGTCAGGGGTTTTGGTGTTGGGGGGGGGGGTCTCTATTGATCATAAAATGCATAAATTCTTTGAAAGTCTTCTTCTCTGCTTCTGGGTATTAAATAAACTATGTAATTAAATAGACATGGTGATCAAGAGTGCCTCTTTCAAAATTGTGAATTTTATGACCCCAGGGTCAGGGGTTCTGATGTTAAGGGGGGGGGGCTCTATTGGTTTTATAGTGAAAAAGCATTTATTCTTTGAAATTCTTTCCTTTGCTCCTGTGTTTATGCTTATGATCCACATATATATATTCATGATGAAGAAAGGTGCACCTAGCAAAATGGTTATTTTTTATGCCCCCGCCCCTTCCCTGAGTCGGGGTGAGGGGGTACAAAGTCTGAAAATAAATTAATGCTTTGAAATTTGCTCTTTGGTGTTAATCAACCATTTTATGATGAAATTTTCAAAATTTTGAAATATGTGGCCCCAGGATCGGTGGTTCCTTTGGGATGAGGTGTACAACTGGTTATAAAGTGGAAGTGCATTTTCTCTTAATGTTACTCTGATCTACCTCTGGGTATTAAGTAAATAGAGTTAGCATGCTAAGTCTAAATTATTATAAACAATGGTACCTATTTCAAAATTGTGAATTGCGAATTCCATTGCCTCTGGTTTAAAAAATAAACCAAATTTAATTGTTTGAAAGTTGTTGCACAATACTCAGGTGACCTATAAGGCCCGTGGGCCTCTTGTTAAGGATTAATAACTGTTTTCATCCTAATGATTTCCCTGAAAGCCGCAGTGAGTTAATACATGTAATACGACATCTCAGATTTGTCTTTCCATCTGTATACATGTACTTTAATGATTTGACTAAGACATGGTTGACCCATCCGGGAGGCTATGCCCCTCCAAGCTAGGTGACATTAAAATTTTTCGAATTGATTTTTTCTGACATTTATTTTTAAGTTCTGATATCCAGATTTAACGATCTCTGCACCCTCGCAATGAATGTTAAAATTAAATCCTTCCTTTAAATTCTACTTGTACAGTATTTTTTGGTTCTTTAAACTATCCCCAGAGGTATTGAAATTGCAGTGTAAAGCAAACAAAGCTTATCATTCATAGTTTTCAAATTAAAAAAAACAGCATTTTTTAAAATATGTTATATGATACATTATATATATTGATATATATTAGTTTGTCCTATAAAGAAGAAGACCAAAATCCTTAAAATAGTATTGAGCATGAGTGTGGTAAATGCTAGAATATACAAAAAGATGATCAGTTGATATGATTAAGATTAACAGACTGTAATCAAACTCAGCAGGTCATTAGAACAAAACAAATCAAAAGGAGGGCAAACGCGGACCTCCACAAACATCAGGGGCTTGTTTTTCAAAAAAGGCCTACGACAGTCGTAAGCTAAGTTCGGACTAAATCAATGACTACACATTACACAAAAGTTGGTGTAGAGTGTACATGGAATTTCGCAATGACGCTGTACTTTGCACACTTTTTGTTTCAAGTGTAAGTTGTCACTAAGTTTCTTTGAAATGCTGTACACGTTAAACAACATTAGTGTAAATCTACGGCCGCTATCTGCCATCGTAGTTATCAAATGATACAGAGTTTATGATTATCGGCTTCTAACAGTATTTCCAGTACTTTGATTCCTTTTCACAATTCACAATACGTTTACCAGTACTCCCAGTACTTTGATGCTTAGTTTGGACTAGCCGCGACCTCTTTGCGATGGTTACTTTGAAGAGAAAAATAAGAATAAGGAACATAAATTAGTTCTTAAATGAATGGTCAAGAAGGAAATACATAGTATTACAAATTTTCTACTTTCGGTTTGATCCTTTTACATGTGTAATTTATTATCGTTAATTTTAGTAACACGATGTTCCAAGGACGACATATGTGAAATGTATCGCAGTTTTAGTTTTCTCTATGATTAATTATGTAGAGATTTGTGGTAAAGGACTGTTAATTGGAGCAAAGATGAGTAATCAATGAGGAGGTAATTAGTATTTTATGTAAAACTTTAAAAATTCTTCTTTTACTTTGAATGTTTACATGAACGCCATTACCATGTACTGTACTTCCGTATTTACATTGTACATTTACAATAGATTTACAAAGAATCCCCAGGGTTTTGATTTACTCATATCCCTTCAGGTTTTTCAGGTGATTTATCGCTGTTTTATTAATGATATATAGTTCATAAAATTAAAGTTGTTTTTCCAATGATAAAGTCACCGAATATTAATTGAGACACTGATAATAAACATTCTGATTAATTAAACTTTTATTGCATTTTACTTTTACTACTAATAACTAAAAATGATCATGATATTCATATTGTTTTAGTTTAAAAAGTTCAAATAGTATGTCTGTTTACACATCCTTTTGATCTATTGTTGTTCCTTTTTGTCCGTCTGTCACTAACTTTAAAAAAAAGTTTTTTTCCTCTATTGGTAATACATCTTTTTCTTAAGGAAAACAACAATTTTGAATTTTATGGCCTTCTCTCCCTTAGGCCCATGGTTAGGGGCTGGCTTAACAAATACAAATGAATAAAATTTTTTAAAAGCAACAGTGCCAGAGGGGTAAGCTATTTGCATAGTGATCTTAGCCAATGAAAATACATTATATTTTGAAAATCATATTTTACACATGTTTGTCTATCAGATATAACCCTGGTAGTATTTGTTTAATTACAATGGTATTTATTCCATTGTCAGAATGTTTAGAACATAACCTACTTATTCTGCCAATCAAATGCTTCCATTTCTCTCGAAGAATTTATTCTTCGTGTTGAAGAATTCTTCTATTTCTGAAAAATTCAACATTGTCTGATTGGTTCACTTGACAATTATATTGGTGTGTCTTCATTGGTTTTTGTTCAGTACACAAAAAAACCCTCGTGCTGCTTACAATGATATTTAGACTTTCTATGCCTTGCCACACATTTTCCCCCACTGTAATCTTTTGTCGTCTTTATAATTTTTTTTCACATTTCAGTACATACAGAAAATACAACCATCGTCATGTATATCAGAGACGAACATTGTCTGTGAAGACAGATTTAACCATAATTTTCATCAAATTTTTATTTGATATTAGACAACCCCGCAAACTCCTGCTGACTAGGGCTTTATCATCTTAAGGTTTCGTCAAATGTCAAATTGTCAAAAAATTATGTTTACAATAGCTCCAAAAGTGTGTGTGGTATAAAGTCAAAACGTTCACAGTTTATGAATATATCATTGATTAATAGATATAAAGTATCACTTGATTACAAATATTTTTTAAAAGATTTTTTTTAATAGAACTGTATCAGAAATTGTGCATATTTACAGAAAAATGCACCTGCTTTATTCTGCCCTTTTTGTGAAAACCAACATTGTAGAAATAATACATGATGATCATTGAAGGGCAAGTTGGATGTGAATGGTTTTTGAAAGACTGTTATTGAAAGCCTGACATGTTTAAAGACAAGACCCCTATAGAATCAACCATTTCCAATGTACTTTCACTTTCAAGTCTTAACATTTGGACAAAATATACAGGGAAAACAACTTTCCAGAGGCTATCCAAGTCCAACTTGCCGTTCATTGATAATAATATTGTGTTTCTGCAATAATGGTGTTCACTAAGAGCACAGAATTAATAAGGTGTATTTTTTTGAATATATATGCATTTTTAAGAAGAATTTTTCTTAATTAATATCATTCCAAGTATATTTTTTACCAAGTGATACTTTCTATCTGATAATCAATGAAAAATTTATAAACTGTAAAAGTGTTAACTTTATACCTCACATAGTTTTGGGGCTATTGTAAAAATTAATTTTTGGACATGTTGACCTTTGACGAAAACTTAACACAATCATTCTTCAAAAATATAGATATTACGATTCTTGTTACATGGGAATTCATTAGTTCAGTACTTTAATATCTTCACCATACCATTTCCCCAGTAAATCAATCTATTTTATATAATCCTGTGCTAACCTGAATGGGTTATGAGTCCATTCTGAAACCTCGTGTGTTCGATATTGACTGCGTGCTCGATATGTACAAGTAGCGGTCAAGTTGAGCCTTATATATGACACAGCCGTGGGAGGAGTTTATCTTTAATCCATTCATTTGATTGGCTGAGGTTCTGTTCTAAGTCAGCAAGATCATATGAAGAGAAATCTTCGTCACGAAGAATAGGCGGAGCGAAGCGGAACCCATTCTTCATGACGAAGATTTCTCTTCATATGATCTTACTAATACATAAATTCCTTGGCTCCTGGGTCCAGATTGGAGCAATTGTGACCAGGCGGGATTAAGTAATTGAGAAAACCAAGGATCTCTAGGTCATCATAATGGTCCTTGAGCCTCGTTATTTTTTAATTGATAAATAATCATACCACATGTTGAGGTAAAGATTACAAAATGTGAATAATCTAAAAAAAATCCTGTATATAATCAAAAGGAATTGCGAAACAGAAAAAAACAGAACATACCAAACCATTGGAACTGACTTATGCATACATGTACATGTATATTTTAAAATATTTTTAGGGACATTTTCCATTCAGTAGTCAATAATGGAGGAGGAAGAATATTTGAGGAAGAAGAAAAGATAATGAAGATATAGTGTAAAATTTTCTTATTTTAACAATGGCATCAAACATTCTGGCAGGTGATCAACTGAACTTCACTCGTATGGGAATAGCAAGTGTGGATGAAATAAAGGTAGTTTTAGCGGACATTTTAAGATGTGAGATTAAACCTCAAGATTTGCCCAAATCCATATCCTCGTGCTCAGAATTGACGTCCGGGAGACATAAACTGAGGCCAGACCAACAGAAACTTTGTTGTCCCTCCCCTCCTGGTGTACCTGACTACAACAAGTTTGATGTTTCTTTGTTATACACACTCATACGAAACCTGTGTCCACAATTTAAGCCAACCCAGGGTTGGGGTAAAACACCTTCTACAAAGGATTTGCAAGTTGGAGATGACATTGAACGCCTCAGAGTTTTCAGAAACGAGATGTTTGCACACTTGGAATCTTCCTGCGTTGAAGACATTGTGTTTACTTCGCAATGGCAGAACTTAGAACAGATATTCCAGAGGATGCAGACTTTTCTTAACCAGAAAGGACTCTCAGTTAATTACAAGAAAAATCTGAAAAGCATTGCAAAGGCTGATTTCGGTTTGACTGATATGGAGAAATACAAGCTTTTGCTCGAAGGAACGATGTACATGTTAAAGAAACATCCCATTAATGGTAAGTGTTTTACAAATACCTAATGATTTCCTAGGAGTAAAAGCGGAATTATTTATCATTGAGTCAAATGCTGACTGAAGTGTTTCATACCGATTGAAAGTCCATTATTTATACACTGAATTGAATTGACGACGAATTTTCCCGTTATTTCCCGATCATGACAAGGAGCACACGGCGGGTGTAACCGGTCAGCAGGGGATGCTCACTCCTCCATGGCACCTGATCCCACCTCTGATGTTTCGGGTGTCTGTGTTTGCTCTGCTCTTATTTGTATTGATTAATAGACTTTGAGATTGAATACTGTTCGTTATCACCATATCCTTCTCATTCTGTCACTTACTTTTTATTCAGATGACCCATCAATTTCGATACGTGGAAAAGCTGAGGTTCTCTGCGGTGAAAATACCTTTTTTGAAGCTGAATTGGACAATTGTCCACCATCAAGTAACTGGCCAATCACATGGGAGAAATTCCAAGGCAATGTAACAGAACAACTGGACATAAGTAAAGAAAAATATAGAGGCAGTTCCAGTAGATTTTTGGTATTACCACGCGTGTTAATGGAAGACAAAGGTGAATACAGAGCTGTTATTTCACGGAAACATGTAAAAGTACAGAGCAACGCCATATTATTGACCGTTAGAGGAGGTATTATTTTTATGTTTATAAGATGGATATGTAAATAACTAAATATATTTACTATATAAAAAGTTTTTTTTAAAAAAAAAGCAAATCATTAAACTACATCATATCAAAAATTTTGCCAAAAGATTTTACATAGAAAGTAAACAAGATTTTAATTTACATTTTCTTACAAACCTATAATCAGAGTCATGTATATATATATATAAACAGCTTATTCTCATTACAGAGCTACCACGTCTTCAGAAATTAAAAGTTACCTCAGAAAGAGACGATATAAATATTCTGTACAAGTATGAAATTTCACAGGACATTCCAAAAGTACATCATATTGCTTGGACTAAAAATGACAAGGTTTTAAAAATAGACAACATGAAGTATATTGGTGGGGATTTAAAAGACAACTTACTTAAAATAACATCTCCGTCCGTTGAAGATAGAGGAAGGTATACATGTACCATCACTAACGCAGTTGGTTCTGTGTCTGAGTCACTGATCCTAGGTAAGTCAGTTTCCTTTTCTTTTTGGTGATAATTCATCATTTAAACATGAAATTAACATCAATCAGTCTTTAAGTTAGGTACATGTAAACATTTTTGCATGTTTGCTCTTTTTTTAAAAACCAAGATCAAACAGTTTATTACATGTACGAAATTAAATTAAGCAATAGGACAATAACACTCATTTTATGAGATGAAAGGTTAAAATAATTAACATTAAATCGACCTTTTTGACTTTTAGATCCTCCAAACATATCAAATGACCATTTAACTAGGATTAACAGTCGGTCTGTGATATTGACGTGCGAGATCTTCCCTTATGACCAGTCTCCTCCTCTTACTAAATTACAATGGCAGAAAGATGGTCAGGTGATAGACATACCTGGAAGTGGAGGAAAGTATACCGGAGGAACACTTGATGAACCATCATTAACCATTACAAACGTCAATCAATCAGATGCTGGGACCTATCAGTGTAAAGCCTCCAATGCAGTTGGGTCGACTTTTGGGGAAGCTATTTTTCTGGGTATAGTATATATAACTAACACGAATAGAAAGTCATAAATGTATAGCACAGCATTAACTACTAAAGAGAAAACATATACCAGTCAATTGAAAAGTACCAAATTAATAACACAATGAAAAAATTGTTAGTTTATAAAGTTTTCATATATTTAATGTCACAACAAGGCATATAAATAATACAATGATACTTCATTAGCCTGACTCTATATTTTTATGAGAGGCTCCGATGTCCTTGACTTACAAGAACCTTAGAAAAATAGATTCAAGCGAATAAGAATGGGATTGGTGCATTTTTGCACACGTTTTGCATGGAAAAGTGTCAATAATTTTGCAAATGTATTGTTTCAAAACAAATGTCTGGTAACCTTATCCAGTCAATTAGTTATATATTGATTATCAAAATGTCAGATCACATATATATTTAATTTCATTTCATTTCATTTTACAATTTATGATACTATGTTTAATCAAATATAATACTGCTTTGAGTTTTTTTTTACATGTAAACATTTCAATACCTTACAGGATTCCCAGTATTTCAAGTTCTAGGACCAGAAAATACAGAGAGTGGAATTTGTGTTTTCACAATGAATTCAAGTTCCTGTCCAGCAGTTTTTTCAGTTCAGTGGAGTAAGAAAAATAAAGACAATGATGAGTATACCCCCATCGATGTCAATGACAAGGAATACTTAGGGACTTCCAATTCCCTCCCAAACCCAAAGCTAGTCATCAAGCAAGCTCCTCTACACAAACACAGCTTCAAAGTAGAGGCGCAAAATTTCATTGGGACCAGCACAAAAACAATACCAGGTACATGTAAATATAAAAAAAGATGCCTTTGTTTTACATATTGTGTCTGGTACTTAACAAAAATTATCGATCAAACACTTCCAACAGCATTTTATTTTATTATTCTGTTTATCTTATTCATTTTAAACACTAAAGATGATAATTTCAAAGCGTGACACTTATGCTATTAGATACACTATTTGAAAGATCTCATAATATGTACAAGATATATCATTTCAATTGAAATTAATTTTTTTAGGTACCCAAGGGATCATGATTGCAACGTTCTTTAATCTACACTACCTGATAATGCTTCATTATTAATAAGAATTATCATGGGGTTGATGTTTTTGAGAATAGGATTTTAAAGTAATGCCTCACATTCCCATGTAAAACTCCTTGGTTAAATTAGATCTCCGGGGTCATGATTTGCACTTCCAAGGGTAATACTTCCTTCAGTAAAAATAAATGAAAAACAATGTCTTGTGGCCTTTGAGAAGATTTTTAAAGATAGTTCTTATAAATTCTACTGTTAAAGCTGATCCCCTGCTGTGCCCCAACTCTACCCATGGGGCCATGATTTGAATAACCTTGAATTTAAACTACACAAAACTTCCTACTACAAATAGAAGACATCTTTATTAATATGACGAGCTATGGTTTTGCTGTTGTTGAGAAGACTTATTAAAGATTATTCCTATGAAACTATGATCCTGCGTTGATGTTCCTCTCCCACCCAGGGGTCATGTTTTTAACAATTTGGAATTTTAACTTCCTAAGAATATTTCTATATTGATATTTGCTGCTCTTGAAAGAAGAACATTTTTTAAGATTACTTCCTATTCGTACCTACATGTATATAAACCTGATATCTTTTCTGGCTCCGCTCTACCCCTTGGGGCCTTAACATAAACAAATTATAATCTACAGTACTTAACAAACACACTAGTTTTCTCTTTTGTAGCCCTGTGGTTCCCGAGAAAAATATTTTAAAAGATGCTACCAATTTTTTTTAAAAACACTAACTATTCTTAATTATCTCCCCTGAAAGAGAACGGAACACTTCTGGTGCTCAAATTTAAATTCCTTTACCTTAATATGATGCTTTGTGGTAAGTCTAGTTGAAAAAATTCAATTTTCATGAATCACTGTAATAGTGGAAATAAAGAATGAATGAATGGCTTGGTAAAGCTAACAGCTTTCTTTATTAGGTCCCCGCAAGGATTTGCGGGTGCCCTATAGTAATCACTCTGTCTGTCCGTTTGTCTGTCCGTCTGTCATTCTTCCGTCCACAAATTTTCTGTTTTTTCCTGATAATTTTTTTCATGGTTGTCGAATTAAGGTCAAATTTGGTATATGGTTCAATAGGCAGAAAGAAGTATTTAATGCTACGTTTGTTTCTCTATGCCCCCTGGTTTGGAGCTGGGATGGTGGGGTAGATTCCTTAACTTAATATAAAAATGCATTGGCAAAGATAGATAACTGCTGAAGATGTTGTCATTGTAAACTGAATGCTGCTCTGAGTCCCTTGGGATTAATTAGCTTTCCTCCTGAAGAAAATCCAAAGCATTATCTTTATCTGTCACATTGAGATGAATTACCAACTCTGTCTGCAAATGAATTAAGTTTGTTTTGAAGTTAAGTCAATTTGGAATGCTATGAACACCTGTACTGTGGATTTAGATACTTTATTTCTTCATTGAATTCTAAAAATATGAAATAAATTAAAGAGGATGTATTTTTCCCCCCTTTTCCCCTTTATGTAAATTCAAGAATATTTATAATTTTTAAGGTAGTTGAACAAAAACCCCATTCTTATTGTAACTTTAGAAGAAAATGATGAGAGAGAAGTACAATTAATCCATTAGGATTAATTTAATATCTAAGCCTGCTGCAGAAAATTTAGTAGGCTTTGTCTGCAACTGCTGTTTTGACATTAGGGTCAAGCCTTCATGATATTTGCATTCACTGCAAATGAAGGCTGTTATTTTATATGACATAAGCTTCATTATTGTTTAAATATACATTCAATGTCAAGTTGTTCTTTTTTGCCTAATGTAAATACAAGAATATTATTTACAGGTTTTTGAAAATTCAGGAATTATCTTGAAATTTTAAGAATACAGTTGCTGTTGCTTATTCTTCATACATTTTTCAATCATTCCCTAAGTTGCACACTTACATAATTCTACCCCATGGCGGGGCCCTTGCTGATTGGTCAGTTTTCTAGTTGCTTCTCACAAACCTGAAAATACTTTTTTGTGTTTAATTTCAATTGCATTTCCTTGACTTCTTTGAAAAAAAATCTTTCAGATGACAGTTCCTTTCCGACCGCATCAAAAGTTGATAATAAAGGTATGACAAAGATTAAAATAGGATATTTTTTCATATAACTGGTTTATGAATCTTTGGTAACATGAAACACATTCTTATCAATAATTATACTTTCTTTAGGTTTTATTTTTACATAGACAGTGACGAAATATCCTTCACGTATTCTTCAATTTAAGCAATTTCCCTTGACAATTGATTTCTTAACCTCTATTCAATTAAAGCAAATAGAGTTGCAGCCATCTTCAAGAACAAGGGGACTTCATTTAAATTTGACAAACTACGCCTTAAACTCATTGAGGAAATTCCTGACACAAAATTAGACTCATTGAAAGAGTCCATAAAAGGTAATGAAATTTATATATGTATAGTTTTTCGGAGACTTTGTTCTCACTACAACCAATACAAATATTGAGAATGTTAAGAATTCTGTGAAAAGTCCAGTGAAAAATGTTCGGCAAAACTTATTGTCGACGGCGAATAAGGCAGAAAAATTACGCCTGTTTTATGACACTTTTGGATGGGAAAATACTCGTCTCGGTATATAATCTCCATTTCTCTAATCTGCCAATATTTTGTGCTACACGACTTTGACAATATCAAAGGAAATTAATAACATGGTGGAAACATCATCTATTTTTAAATAAGTGTGATAACCAGATTGTTCTTTTGTAGGTTTATTGTGAATATCAATCATATTACAAATTATGATATTAATGATAATTGGCAGTAATGATAGTGTGCTGTACAAATGAAAAATAAGAAAAAAACAAGACATTATTTATAGAGGTAAATTCACATGAATGTAATAATGCATTACTAAAAAATGAATAAATATAATTTTACAAGCATATGACAGACAGTTTACCTTTCCATTATAAAGATTTAATAACATATTACACTCATAATAAATTTATGAATAAATGTATAATATACTTTCACATAAATCTTACCCCAACTAGGGCCACAATGCATAAGCTAAAGTCAAGGTCACACCGTCGACCAGTGATACTGATACTGTACAACCTAACGAGACAGTATACCTATGTTACATCTAATTCAAGTTGTAAACAATAAGTAAAAGTATATCTCATATGTTAAATTTAAATTTCTTCATAACAAAAGCCTATTAAACATCATGGAATTAAAATAAATAGCCAATATTATACTAAACATTTATAAACAAAACATGCTGAACTTATTCCATTAAAGTAAATATTTTCAGACTTTACAAATATTACAATGATCCTAACAATACATACTTTGCTATTATGAGCAAAGCTATATATTTAAAAAAATGTAAACTTACAGTTGGTATAATTTATAGTTGGTACAATAACACACTTCAATAATTCTCAACCTTCTTCATGTTCATAGCGCGAAACAGTTCGAGCAAAATCATCTACTATGAAGTCACGTGATGTTGAAATTATCAAAATTTTAAACAATACATTTGAATAAAAACTTATGTGTATTTTCCATCATTATATGAAAAATGACAATGACAAAATTATTTTAAATGGAAATCTTAAATACTTTAGCTCAACAGAATTTCTGTAACTAAAAATTGATGCGGAAATTACCCTCAATGACAAACAGTGTATGAAAACAAAGAGAGATATCTCTATTGTAAAAATCACCCCATCACATAAGAAAAGATTATCTCGGCATATATGATCGCTATTGCCTAAATAGTAGTCAGGATTTGGCACATAGTGCACTCGGCGGCACTATTTTTGCTTTACAGATGAACGTTTCCAATTTTAAAAACAGCAGATTTATAAATTTTTAAAAATAGAAATATCCAGTCTGTATCACTTTTTATACTTGATCATGTGGTCAAGTTTGAGCCAATAATGTACACTTAAACAAACTTCTAAGTGTTCACTTTAAAAAATGTCTTTATTTAAAAACTGGTTTATAGAATGGTATGATATTTTCAAATTATATCAACAAATGAGTCTTCTTAACAAATGTTAATAGAAAATTCAATATCACCAATGAAAACCAATGTTCCGTGACGAAGCTTAAAAGCAATAAATTTGTACTTTGTGGCGTATGTTTTGTGTAATACACATCTTTTTGTGATCATTATCAAATTTTAAAAACTGGTTTCAGTAAAAAACACAAAACATTGGTTAAATGACCATTGAGATGGAAGATAGAGCCTTTGGAATGTTGCTTTCTTGACCATCTTTGCACCACGTTTCACTCACTTTTATTTCAGTGCTTAATTGAACTTCATTTTACTTGTAAAAATTGTCAAACAGTATCAAAACCCATTTAAACACATTTTTCTATAGGCTGTGATTATTTTTCATCACTAATTTATCACAATTTGAAAGTTTTTGACAAAATTTGACCACACCGGAAGTGACCTTGATCTATTGTGAGGAGAAAATTTCGCGTCAAAATAGGTTAAAACAGTGTTAAACTGTCCTGAAAAATTGTTAGAAACATGGAAATAAATAATTTTAATCGTACGTATATGATAAGAAATCGGTGCTCAAGGCAGTCTTATGTCAGCTCAAACAGTCTGAATTATCCATAAAGGGGCGCACTAATGTGCTAAAAACCCAAAGATAATGACCAAAAGGCATTTGTGTGACGATACACTGTCAAATTCCCGAATCTGAATCCCATTGAACACATTTGGGATTTTAAAAGAAATGTCAAAGCCGCCCCCCTTTTTTCTCCCACAATTTCAATGGTTTGGAAAGATCTATGCAGTACATGTGGGTTTGGCAGCAGATGGGTCAATCTCCTATTCGATCAGGGATACATGGTATCCAACAAAAAAGATTTTCTTGTAGTAATTAGAGCGATTAGTGGGTCTTACACAATCGAGATTTTTTGTGTGAATTTTGATTTTGAGGGTACACCATTTCCTTGACACTTTGCTTAAAATTCTGACGAGATACTCAAATGAAATTTACGCAACGTCGAACTTAAATACGCATCATTAACCATGAAAAAAAGAAAATATTTATTGTTCACATTTGTTCTTTAAAACTTCAAAAATGTTAGGTGAACACTTAGAAGTTTGGTTCAGTGGAGTTGGAATAATACAGAAAAAAAATTCCAAAGGGCATTATGCAAGATTAGTAGGGTATGGGTTATATAGAGACAAACTGACATGGGGCATAATAATTTGATATAAAACCTACTATAATCACAGGGAAAACACAATATCATCTGGTTTTATCAAACTAATTTTTTCCGTGTTTTCATAAAAACATAAATAATATGTAAATCAAAATATGAAAAGATGTGACAGACTCTGTTGTGACATTTATGTACATTTCTAAAACGAGGTAAATTATTGACAACAAATTGCTGAAATAAGAATTTTTAGCATTCAGCATTTCAACAAAACTTTTCAACGTTATACACAAACATTCCTAACAATAAAATGAATTTGGCTATTATTGTATTAGTATGAAACAGAATTAGGAAAATGGCATGCATGAATAGAAGAAACAACCTGCTGTGGCCTTAAACTCGACTTTTAGATATATTGACGACGTATTTTCAATTAATAATGCTTACTTCATTTTTATGTCCATATGATATAACCCCGTGTAATTGAGATACATGTACAATATATCACAGAATTGACATATTTGTTTCATATTTGGATATTTTACTTTAAAAAGACGTTAATGGTAATCGTACTTTAGCTTTCTGATAACTTTCTGATGCCTTAACATTTTCAATCGTTGACGTCCCCTACTTATGCAGTAATATATCTTCATCACCTGCAAACGGGGTTCAAATCTCTCAGTTGATTCGATACACAAGAGCATTCTCTACCTAAGTACAATTTCTAAAACGATGTAATTTATTGAAAAACAAGTCTCGGAAACACGTGTATCAGCAGTCTCGTGAAAAGTAATAAGTTCTATGATCGATACAACGACCATGTAAGTAAGAAAATAAAATAAATCATTGAACCAAATGCTAACTGACTTTTTTCGTACTATTTGTTAGGCCATTATTTACATATTGAATTGTTGAAGGATTCTTCCGATATATCCCTATCATGAGACGGAGCACACAGCGTGCGTGACCGTCGGCAAGGGATGCTTTCTTCTCCATGGTATCTGATGTTTTGAAAGTCTTGTTTGCTCTGTTTCTTATTAAATTGATTTCTGAACTTGAATACTGTTCGTTATCTTCAAATATTTTATTTTTTCAAGTTCACTGGTATGTATAAGGAGTACAGATTCGATTAATTGATTGATTTTAATTTGTTTTACCAATGCATTTTATAACAGACTGTCATATGCTTGTTTATTGCACTTAGACAGCATAAACACAAACCAAAATGTAAGCCCCAAGTGACCAATACATAAGATTTTCCAATTTTTTTCACAAAATATGATACACACATGCCAAAACTTCTTCTCTTACCCGAATCATTCATTGTTGTCAAAATAGTAAATTAAGTCTTTTTTCTCCGGTACTTTTTAAGAAATGTGTTAAAATAGAATTATTGGGTGTTATGTCCTAACTTAATAGTACCAATGCCTGCCGTAACATGGGCCCTCGGTTTTTATGGGTCTCAACCGAAAGACTGAAAATTTGACTTCACAGTGCCTTGCTCATGGCGAAGGAACACTTGCTTTCAATTTTTTATCGACTTGGGCCACCATGAACAGACTATGAAAGTAATTATTGTTAATTGATATTACATTCATATACCTAAATGTCGAGTTGAAGGCCTCGTAGTTTTTGAAGCTATTCTGCTTCACAGAAATATTAAAAGGGCTGGCTAATAAAGGAGTACAATTAGTGCCCGTTGCATACCAACAGTTGTTTTTTTAAAAAGATTTGGCCTCCGAAGACGACATAAATGTTGACAATAAAAAAACTTAAGCATCCCTTTCATATCAAATTAAGTTTACTGTATATAGAATCAGAGTGATATACAATCACAAAATAGGAAATTATACGACTTCAATTTTTACTTAAGCTGTCTATAAAATATAGAAGCCTAGACTGATATTTTGGACAAATATTCTTTTAAGGATTAAAAAAAGGGGGTTTGTATTTTATGGTATTGCATTTGCTGGATCTTGCAATAAACCTCTCTTTGTGAGGATACTTCTGAAGTTAAAGGTACTTGGACATAGGATAGATGGTTCTTACATTGTACAGTCTTGCAATTTATTTAAAAATAATAATTCACTCTGACAGTGTGAAGATATTTCTCTTATATTTAGCCAATGCATTGGAATTATCCTAGTTTAAGGAAATGTTCGTAGGTAGACGTGCTTGTTTGACTGTTGTTTAACGTCCTTCCTGAGTATTTTTCACTTATATGCAAACGTCACCCCTTGACGACGGGGGCTGCAAAGTTTAACCTATGCTCAATACTCAGGACCATGCTAACACTTACTGCGATACAGTTTTAAGTCTCACCCGAAAGACGTTTAAACGTCCCTCGGTGGATTCGAATGAATTTGAACCGGCGACATAAGGATCGACTACTTATTCAGGAACTCTAGAGCAGATGCTTTAACTACTGTACCATGCGGGCGACTCGTATCGAGAACATGATCTAGCGTGTAGAATCGTTAGAGAGATATGAACCTTATATGCAGTAAATTGAGAAGAGTTGACGGTTGAAAATTGAACAATTTATCTTATGTTTTTAGGTCACCTGAGTAAACTCAGGTGACCTATTGCTATCTGTTTTCGTCCGTCGTCGTGCGTCTGTGCGTCGTCCGTTAACATTTGAACATTTTCAGCTTCTTCTCTGTAACCGCTCAACCAATTTCAACGAACTATGGCAAAAAGCATCTTTTGGTGAAATAGATCAAAATTTGTGAATTTCATGGTCCCTGTCCCCCTGGGGACTGGGGGTGGGGCAAAAACCACTAAAATTAATGCAATCTTTAAAAATCTTTACTCCTGGACATCAAGCAGTCAAACTGTTTGCATGATTGTAACCACCATTGAGTCCTCTTCCAAAATTGTGAAATTCATGGCCCCGGGGTCAGGGGTTCTAGAGCTAGGGTGGGGCTAGGTAAGTATATAGTGAAAATTAATGCATTATTTCTTTTAAAATCTTCTTTTCTGCTACTGGGTATAAAATAAACCAACTAAGTACATAGTTATGATGAACAAGAGTGCCTCTACCAAAATTGTGAATTTTATGGCCCCAGGGTCAGGGGTTCTTGTGTTAGGGCGGGGCTCTATAGATTATATAGTGAAAATTCATGAATTCCTTGAAAATCTTCTTCTCTGCTCCTGGGCATTAGATAAACTAACTAAGTGCATAGTTATGATGAGCAAGATAGCCTCTACCGAAATTGTGAATTTTATGACCCTAGGTTCAGGGGTTCTGGTATTAGGGTGGGGCTCTATTGACTATAAATTGAAAATATATGAATTCTTTGAAAATCTTCTTCTCTTCTCCGGGGTGTTAAATAATCTAACTAAGTGCATAGTTATGATGAGCAAGAGTGCCTCTACCAAAATTGTGAATTTTATGGCCCCAGGGTCAGGGGTTCTGGTGTTAGGGTGGGGCTCTATAGATTATAAAGTGAAATTACATGAATTCTTTGAAAATCTTCTCTGCTCATGGGTGTTAAATAAACCAACTAAGTGCATAGTTATGATGCACAAGATAGCCTCTACCGAAATTGTGAATTTTATGGCCCTAGGTTCGTGGGTTCTGGTGTGGGGTGGGGCTCTATTGATTATATAGTGAAAATATATGAATTCTTTGAAAATCTTCTTCTCTGCTCCTAGGTATTAAATAAACTAACTAAGTGCATAGTTATAATGAGCAAGAGTGCCTCTATCGAAATTGTGAATTTTATGGCCCCAGGAACAGGGGCTCGGGTTGGGCTCTATTGATAATATAGGGAAAATACATTAAATCTTTGAAAGTTTACTTCTCTGCTCTTGGGTGTTAAACAAATGAACTACCTATATAGTTATGATGAGCAAGGGTCCTAATCTTCCAGAATTGTGAATTTCAAGACCCCAGGGTCAGGGGTACCAAAGCGGGGGGGGGGGGGGGGGGGGGTTTACTTACTGATTACTTGAAATGCATTTTATGTTCCCTTACTCTGGCTATGGGTATTAAGTAAACAAACTAAGCAACTGCTAAGTGTATTGTTATGATGATCAATGGTGCTTTTTTCAAAATTGTGAACGCCATAGCATCTGGCTTAAAACATGAATCAAATTAAATCATTTGATAATTGTTGCATAATGCTCAGGTGACCCATAAGGCCCATTGGCCTCTTGTTTCTTTATGTATTCAACTGTGTACCTTGTATTGGAGGGAGATGTTTGCCACGTATTATGCAATATTATGCATTACGCAGTTATGATAAGGCTGTCCGAAGGCTTAAAATGCCTTAAAAATATACATTTTATTTTGAGCTAGATTTTAATTGTAATATGTAATCCTTGTTTGAAATTGCAGTCAACTTGAGATCATAGTTTACTCATATGTTATTTTATAGCATTTTTGTGATGTCACGTGACTGTATTGATCACGTGACGGAGACCTTACGATATTCCTAGTTCTTGCACAGAAATCGCTTCGGCACAAGTGCAAAATAAATATATTGTGCAAATCTTGTTACATAGATCAATTCATCGTGATCTCCGGTACATAGAAAGTGCTGGGGGCAGGGTTAATTTTTACTCGTTAAAAAATTATTTTACGAGAAATTCAACTTACCAACATAAGAGGGGGTATTTTCCACACATAATCGCGATTTATACAAAATTAGATAGACTACACACAATCCCCTAGCAATATTCAGTTACAGTACATACTTCTCTTATAGATTCACAGAGAATATCCTCAATTTGTCCTTGTTTATCACTTGTGCCAGTCCAATATAAACACGATTCATCAATTCTAACTCTGTCTACGGACTTGTAAGGGGAGCCTTTCACACATAATTTTTTGATGTTGTTTGAATATGTGTATATCGGACAATATAGGGGAAGGGATATTTAAATTTCAAATGTTCAACATCATTACAGCACAATCGAGCTTAAAAAACAATCATAACACTCGAATTAAACAACAAGTCCCAAAATAAATCGGTGTAAGAATTATGACACTTTCCCCGTCATGTCAGCTCAAGTATGCAGTGACTTGACGTCATATTCTATCATGACGTCATATCTATGTAGTTCAGAGAAGTTACTACAGTTTGCACAGTTTGATATTTAACGGACAGCCTTATCCTAGCTGCGTAATTTGAAAAGTATAATTGCCAAATTTAATATCAATATTCATGCATAACTTCATAAATTAATGCTTTTGTACTGTAGGTCTATAAAGATTTGTTAACTAGTCTCAATCATTTATCTCGTTTTATATTTAGTCATCACACAAAAGGATCTATCTGTTGAAAATGTTACAACCGTTGAAGGCTTCTTCACACTTATTCTAAACGAGGGGATTTTCAGCCAACAAAATGTAATTTTGATGCAGTATCTTTTGAAAAGTATTGGTCGTCCTGATCTTGAACAAAAATGTGTGGAGTACGCAAGGAAAACAAAAGCATCATGTTTCTTTAAAGAACCAGAACACCCAGGTAAGAGATTATTTTGATTTGATCTTTCATATGGGATATTTTGGACTTAACATGTTTAACACCGAATATTTACATTTTCAAATGTTTTCCTTTATATAACACTACTGAAAGGAATGCGTATCTATAACTGTATAATTCCAATCTTCATTTTATCTATTGATTTCCTGTGTTTTGATTGGACGAGAACACGTTCCAGAAAATTTTTACACATCGATAAATTCTTTCAATCAGAACTACTTTCTTGATGACACTACTAGGTTATCGTATAAACAATGAAAGCAGTTATTTCTGGGTCTGTTCTTGCTTAATAATGAATGTATACAAGAAACTTTAAATTTAATTAGGGCTTAAACAAAACTGGCAACATACTAGACTGTCTAACTGATGGACGCCGTGAAAATGTTTAGGCCTATGTCACTGTCCGATCACGAGTGTGAATTTTAAAAATATCGCTGTCTCAACGTTCATACGTAGAAAATAAGCTCAGTCTGTATCGTTTTGACAGGGAAAAGAAACGTACCTCAAACTCTTGCCCTATTAGCATCAAATTCATATTTACTTTCTATATTGTTCCTCAATATTTGAATAAACAAGTGCAAATTGAAGGCGTCGTCGGTCTGCAAGTTTCGCTATGAGAGTTGTTGTTTATGTCAACATGGCCATGGTCAAAGACGAACTATTCTGAAGTAAACTCGTAATTACGATATTTGTTGACTTAAACAACATTCCATTAGTTGTTATAAGTTTATTTATCGATTGTTTTGACAATTTAAGTTGAACTCTATCGAAATTCATCTCGATTACGTTCCTTTACGGTAAAATGTATTCCTACGCCGTCCAGAAATAACGGATTGTATGGAGGCCTCAAAGAGAAATAATTTAAATATTTTTAAAAATTCGATATTGGAATTATAAGAATTAAACGTTCTTTTTGAAAAATTTATCGATGTGTAAACTCTTGACATTTTACTCACAAACTTAACATAAAAGTGCTTCGCACTTTTATTTAGTTTGTGAGTAAAATGTCAAGAGTTTACACATCGATAAATTTTTCAAAAAGAACGTTTAATCCTATAATAAATACAGGTACGGGGTCAAGAGGTCATAGATGTGCGTAGGGATAATCATTTGACGTAATTTTTCAGTGACGTCATAAAAGGTCGACGTGGATTACACACTTGCGGTTGAGTTTGAAAAACTGCATTTCACACGCTAAAAGTCACAATTAGGTTAATATAAAGTATGAATGTCACAAATGTAAATATAACTAATAAGGTATCATTTCAAAACATCTATCGGGGTATAAATACGGGTTTTTTAGAAATTAAATTCAACATAAATTCTGGCTTTATGGAATTTAATCTCACGACCAACCCGTATATATCCCCGATAGATGTTTAAAAATGATACCTTACACACCTACTAATGTGTTTGGAACTTTTTATAATCCGGTGTTCTGCAAATTATAAAATCTGATGAGTTCAGATTAGCACTGGCAGTGGCTCTGGCGAGAGCTAGTGAGACTTCAGTGAGGTAGGGTAAATTATTCACGGAAATGTGGCTAGGAAGTGACTAGCACGTGGAGGCATGGTAAAGAGAAAAGTTATGTTGCGTATCAGTTTTCACCACCCTAAAATCAGCTGATAATGTTTGCAGAAATGTACTTCAATCAATCGATCCATTTTACAGTCATTCAAACTTTAAATAAGTATATTCTCTATAATATAATTTTGTGCAGTCATGAATTAAAATTTCTTTGTGGACAAATATTTTTGCATGAGAACCGGGACTATATTTTTTTTTAGCTCACCTGAGCTGAAATCTCAAGTGAGCTTTTCTCATCACCTGCTGTCCGTCGTCCGTCCGTTTGTCCAGCCGTCCGTCCGTCCGTCTGTAAACTTTTCACATTTTCAACTTCTTCTCAAGAACCGATGGGCCAATTTTAACCAAACTTGGTACAAGGCATCCTTGGGTGAAAGGAAGTTTAAATTGATAAATTGAAGGGCCAAGTTCCCTTTCAAGGGGAGATAATCAAGAAAAGACAAAAATAGGATGGGGTCACTAAAAAATCTTCTCAAGAACCACTGGGCCAGGAAAGCTGAAACCTATGTGGAAGCATCCTTAAGAAGTGTAGATATTAAATTGTAAAAATCATGACCTCCGGGGGTAGGGCGGGGCCACAATAGGGAATCCAAGTTTTACATAGAAATAATTAGAACATATCTTTAAAAATCTTCTTCTCAAGAACCACTGGGCCAGGAAAGCTGAAACTTGTGTGGAAGCATCCTTGGGTAGTGTAGATATTAAATTGTAAAAATCATGACCCCCAGGGGTAGGGCCGGGCCACAATAGGGATTCCAAGTTTTACATTGAAATATATAGAAGAAATCTTTAAAAATCTTCTTATCAAGAACCACTGGGCCTGGAAATCTGAAACTTATAAGGAAGCATCCTGGGGTTGTGTAGATTCTAAAATTTTAAAAACATAAAAGGCAACTGGGTAGTGGGGCATGATAGGTATAGCAAGAGGGGGAATCTTGTAATGAACTGCATCACCAAGTTACTCAGGTGAGCGATGTTTCCCATGGACCTCTTATTTATAGATATATTTGGTAAATGAGGCACCAGCATAATTTCAACTGACCAATCAGCTGAATGGGTATTGCACTATGGGTTACTATGAATACTACAGGAATCTTACGCTTGAGAAAAGGAATACGGTATCTTATGGTAAATGAAAAGCATTTTAAAAAATATATCATTTCATACTCATTATGACAAACAATTCATTTGTTAAATAAACTGCGGAAGTC